CCGCCGGCCCGCCCCGCTGGCACGGGGAGAACAGAGGCCGAAAAACGCGGGGGGGGGGGGGGGGGGGCGGAGAGTGGCGAGCGAGAAACCAACTATGAGAGAATGGACAGGTGCTCCGGTTCGTGGCGCCATGCCGGTCCCCGGACGCAAGGGCATCGGCGGCCGGAGAAGAGCCCGAAAGCCGCGGCGGCAGGGCCACACCGCTGGCCGGTCGGGAAAAAAACTCCTCGAGCCCTGGGGCCGGGCCTGCAGCCCTGCCCGATGCCCAATGCTCAACCGTCGTCCAAGGCGGCCTGCCCCCTCCAGGCGCCTCGCTTCGGGGGTATTTTTCGGCCGCGTAAAACGGCCACATCCGCAGCGCATCCGCATCGATCCTCCCCCCCCCCCCTTGGCAACTTGCATCCCCTCCCCCTCCCCCTCTCCACCTGTCTGGCTGCGTCTCCTTTCCATCGGGCCCCCTTCTTGTAGCTGCACCCTCGCCGCTGCACACACGCGGCTGGTCAAACCCATGAGCGGTTCCTCGCGGAAGACGCGCCGGACGCCGAGCGCGTCAGCATCCCGCGCGTCACCGCCCCCACAAGCCCCCTCCGGCCGGCGGACAAGCCCCCGGAAGGTGCGCCCGGTGACCGGGCGCCTCGCCCGGCGTCTGGCGTATGATCGAATTCTGGAGCCCGGCTTCCGGGCCAGCAGCCTGGATGCTGATCAGCTCCGCCACCTGCTGGCCGATGTTGGGGCCCGGCAAATCCCTACCCAGGCAACCAAGGTACGCCGCCGTCAGCCTTCCTCCCTCGCATGCCATGCTTCGGCCATTTGGAGGAACATGGAGCCCCCCCCCCCCCTCCCCCTCCCTGGACCTGCTCTGGCCCCTCTCTGACATTTTCCCCCAGAGTGACCTTGTGCGCATGCTGGACCAGGTCATTGATGATACCCCCTCGGACTTTGAGGTGTCCTCGGGCGAGGATTCCGACCTAGATGACAGTGCCCCGCCGGGCACCGCCCGTCAGCAGCCCCTCGCTCTGGAGGATCTCCTTTCCGAAAGCCAGGGCGGCACCGGGCGTGCGGCCTCCCGGAGGCAACGAGATCCGGCGACCAGTCCGGCCCTGGCGCCGGCTTCGGACTCGGCCGCCAAGAAGCGCCCGGCCGAAGATAGCCCCGATCATGGGTCCAAGCGCCGGGCATCATCTCGGTCCGCCACCGCCGCCGTCGCCGCCGCCGCCGCCAAAGAGGCGCTCCCTGCATCGGACCAGGAGATGGCCTCGGCCTCTGAGGAGGCCCTTTCTCCCGAGCCACGCGCCAGCCGCAAGCGCAAGACCACAACTCCGGCCAATCCCCCGGGCGTAGACTCCCCACGTAAGGTGTGTTTTTGCTTGGCCCTGCTCCACACTCCGGGCCTCTCCTTCCGTGACTCAATCTGACAACGGCCCATCCGCCGCACTCCCTTCCCGGACCGACAGTCTTCCCATCGGAGCACGGCGGCCCCCGCGGCCGGCTCGCCTGCCCTGCTAATCCCCCACCTGGTTTCGCACTCACCCACCCCCAGCCCCGGCGCCTCGCCGGCTGACAGCGCTAGCCGCTCGCCGCCCGTGCCGACCATCGCCGCGGCCCAGAAGGAGGCCGTTCGCCGGGCCGTTCGTGCCTCCGTCAAGGAGCCCCTCAGCCTGACCGAGCGGAAGCAGGCGGCCGAGCTCCGGGCCAGTGCCTTCCAGGAGGGGCCGCCCTCGCCGACGCGCCTGCAGGCGCCGGTGTCCCTGAATTTGGCCTCCTTTTTGCAGCGGTCGCCGAGCATGCGCAATGGTGTCTTCCTGGATGCCGACAGCGCGGCTGCCGGCCAGGGGCCGCGCGATGACCGGCGCTTCGCCGGCGCTCGGCACAATGACGATGACACCATCGCCTCCGAAGAGATGGACAGCGCCAGCAGCTATACCGACTCCCGGCTGACCAGCAGCAGCAGCGGCAGCAGCAGCAGCGATGACAGCGACCCTTCCGCCAGCGATGGCCCCAGCATCTCCGATGTGTCGGATGTCCTGGATTTCAGCGAAACGGAGGAGGAGCCGGAGCAGGCGGCCCGGGCCACATTGGCCCGGCCAATGATGCCGGCTGCCTCGCCGGCCCTCGGGCCCAACCATCCCCTCCGGGACCTGGACAGCCGGCTTCAACCGACCCCGTCGCCCATTTCCCCCCTCGTGCACCGGCACATCCTACACCCGGGAGTACATCCCCATGGGCAGACGCCGCCGGTGGCGGAGTTTTCCCGGCCCATCCGACGCACCGGGTTGCCGGCCTCCCGGGCGGACCCGGCCCCGGGGTCCTCTCGGCACCTGCTGTCTCCTCACCCCGATCAGGCCGCCCGGCGGACACCGGCCCCGAGCCCGGCAGCCCCGACCCCCGGCCTGTCGCCCTTCTCGCTGGGGCACCTTTTCTCCCCGGATCGGTCACCAGCCGGGCCCGCGCGCCAGCCTATGACCCCAAGCTCCGTCACCGCGGCCCGGCCCAATCGCCTGCTTCGCCTGGCCGGCCTGCTGTTGGCCCTGCTGGCGGCCCTCGTGGCCAGCCTGTCTCTGTACTCCTACCTTTGGCAGTTGGCCCGGTACGAGTCGCTGCCCTACTGCGACTCCCAGTCGCCGGGCGACTTGTGGCCGCCGGCCGACTGGCGGAACCAATCCTGCCGCCCGTGCCCCTCGCCCGGGGCCATTCTCTGTGCCGGCGGGTGGCCGATGCAATGCACCCGGCGGAGCCAACAGCTGGTCCGTGGCGGCCCGGCAGTGGGTGGCCATCTCATTGGCCCGGCTGCCAGCCCCTGGCTGCGGCTCATCTTCAGCATGCTGGGCAGCTCCCGCTGGCGCTGCGTGGCCAACCCGAATGCCGAGCACATGCGGACCCTCGTGCGCCAGGTCCTGGCCGAGGCCCATGGCCAGGCCCTGTGCAAGGAACTGCCCCCGGGGCCGGATGGCTGGCCGGTGCCGGTTTCCCGTCTGGCCCAGCTGGCCTGGCAGCACCTCCACGAGGCTGAGGGGTACATCCCGCCGGTGCTGCCGGTCAAGAGCCACGACCGGGCGGGGGGCTACTATGGCCGGCCGGCCAATGGTGCCGTCAATGGCCCGGCCTCCCGGATGTCTCTCATGCACCCGGACACCTTCTATCTGTTCTTCGAGGACATCGTCTCGGAGGCGCGTCTCCTTCCGACGACCCTGTGCCCGCGCCTGCAATTGCCCTTCAATTGCCTGCAATCGGTGGCCATGGCGGCTGCCGCCTTTCCCGGCAGCAATGGCGGTGGCGCCGGCGCCGGCGCCGGTGGTGGTGGCACTGGCCCCGGCACCCTCGGCGGGCATTTCTATGGCGGCGAGGCCGACACCTCCGGCGGGTCTCGCGGGCCTGGCATTGACAATGAGCAGCTCTACTTCCTGGCCGACCCGACGGCCGCCGGGCCGCGTAAGCTTCTCCTGGTCCCGGGGTATACGCGGTCTTCGGCGTGCCAGGCGCGTCGCCTGGCACGACTGGTCGGCCTGCTGGCGGCCGCCGCCCTCGGCATGTCGCTGCTGTGGCGGCACTGGCGCGAGTGGGGCGCTCGCCGGGACTGGATCGATCAGCGCACCCGCCAAACTCGCGCCCTCCTTCAAAGGCAGGCCGCCAAGGCCCAATCGCCGGACACCCCGAGCACGTCGGCCGTCCTGTCGATTGCGCAGCTTCGCGCGGCCGCCTTCGGCGAGAGTCGCCACCTGGAGGAGACTTTCTCGCTGTTCCGGCCGCGCGGCTGGCTTCCAGCGGCCCGGCGCATGGTTGGTCTTGGCGACTGGCGCCCGGCTGCCTGGCTGCAGGTATGGCTTTCAATCACCGGCTCTCGTTGTTGCTCTTTTCGCTTTGCCCCGGCCTCTCTTGCCTTTCTGACCCATGCGCGGCAAACAGGTTGTCGAAGCCATTCGCCGTGATGCGCGCATTCGCGAGATCACCCACCGCATTGCCGGCGACGACCATGACTGTTGGGAGTGGATTGCCCCGTTGGATGTGGATTTCCTGGCCCTGGCCGGTGACCTGGCCGACGGGGGACCGGCCAGCGAGCTGGGACCCGTGGCGGCCTCTCTTGCTGGGGGCCAGCCCTCCCAGCCTGTGACCGCGCCTGCCCAGCTGGATGGGTCCTTTAGACTGCCCTCCCTCTTCCTCGGTTAGTGTCACTCTCCCCTATCATGACCCACATTACACCTTGCCTCTTGTGCTATTTCACCGCTTTGTGGCACCCTTAGACCGGGGGGGGGGGGGGGGAAGGACGGCCCTTTGTCCGTCATGATAAAAGGTGTGGGGTAGAAACGGGGGAGGGGGAAAATGAACGTGAAGAGAAAAAGAGGGGGGGGAGAGAGAGAGAGAGTATGGCACAGGGCTCGGTGGCAGGGTGCTCCCACCTGTGGGGATCTCTATTTTCAAGGCGGTCGCGCCTGCTGAAATGGGAGAGGGAAGAAGACCATGGAAACGGACATTCCTCGTCCATAAGCATTTTGAACTTTCACCCTCTTCGTGCATCCTCCAGCCCTCCGGAGGGTGTCTACTGTTGCTGGGGCTCCGGGAAGCGCAGAGGCCCGGCCTCGGTGGACTTGCGGTCGTGCAAGTACTTGCTGCCAGCCGGCGGGAAGCGCATGTCGCATCCCAGCAGCCGCGCCCGGATGGTTGCATTGAACAGGGCATCCAGACACTCACATTGGGTCTTGGCATCGCGCCAGGAACGTCCCCACACGTAGAGACCATGGCGCCGGACCAGGACCGCCGGTGCCTCGGGATGCCGGCGAATGGCCTCGGACAGGGACTCCTCAAGGTCACGCTCCTTTTGAAGGTAATGGGAAGAGATCATGCACGGGCGCGGGGGTCAGCACTGAGGTAGCTCAATGCGCGAGCTGCTTTTCGGCGTCGAGGGACATGACGAAGTCCGAGAGAGGGAGAGAGAGAGGGGGGGGGGGCGGGGGGTAGATAGGAAGAAGGAGAAGGAGGAGGCAAGAAACACACCTGCGGGGTGTTGTCGATGATCGGGATGACAAGCTCATCCTGGTAGCGGTGATATTCGCCGCTGTTGCGCCGAATGCCCTTGATCATTTCATGATGCGTGATGACGAAGGCATCCTCGCCGCGCAACTCGCACAGGATGGTCACGTCCACGGCCTCCGGGCTGTGGGTGTGGATGACCGACCCGACCTCGGCCCCGGGACGGTCGATGCCGATGCGGTAGGCCGCCAGGAAGAGCGGCGTGCACTGCGATGGGCGCAAGGGCCCGCTGCAAGCCGGGGGGCTGATCAGCGGCTGGAAGCTCGGATAGTCCAGGACAAACATGTTGATTGGGTGCAGGCGCTCCTTTTGCACGCCGGAAGGCGCAATGTAGATATTGTGTCTGTGGAAGGCGCGCGCACACACATACACACACGCAGACACACATACGCACGCACACACGCGAGAGGGGGCGAGACAGGGAGAGAGAGAGAGAGAGAGAGAGAAAGGGGGGTGTCAGTTTCTGGCGGGGGACAGGGGGGCGGCCCACCAGCATGGACAATGACAGGGAGGAGGGGGCCAAGAGGGGAACACACCCGTCGCGGATGCTCACGCCGCCGCCAGTGCCTGTGACCCAGCCAAGGTGGTAGAACTGCTTGCAAAGCTCCGCAATCAGCAGCCGGGTGTCAGCCTCCTCGGCGTCACGCTGGTCATGGCTGCTCCAGGGGCCGGCGGCGCGCTCACGCGCTGGCTCCAGGGCATTCGAGGTATGGCCGGAGGCCGAGCAGCAGAAGGGGACCGCGGAGCAGCAGCGCCCCGGTCCGGCGACCAGAGAACCGTCCTGGGAAGACATGTGTGGAGCGAGACGGGCGGGGGGGGGGGGGGGGGGGGGGGGGGGGGGGGGGGAGGGGGGGGGGGGGGGGGGGGGGGGGGGGGGGGGAGGTCGAGTCGGGCGCAAAGGAGGAAGAGGGATGGCTCATCGCTTGTGGATCCCGGACCGCGGGACGGGCGGTCGGGACGCCTCCTCTTGGACCAGCGCGGCGAGGCCCATGCGCCCTCTGTGCTGGAAGCCACACAAGATCGAGGGGGCTCTCGCGACCTCGGAGGGGGAGGCTGGCTCGGCCAAGGACGGCGCCCGATCGGCCCGCCGACAGCCAACGGACCCGAGCCATTGGACCAGCTCTAAACCGGGCAAGCGGCCCGGGCGGCTTGCTCCCGGTTGTCCCGCTCCCCGGCCGAGTGGCGAAGACACTCGGGTCCCCCACTCGGGACCTCGGCCATCCCCCCCTTTTCCCATGGCCACGCCCCGCCCCCTTCACCGCCGTCTCCGCTCATTTTCCTACCCGAAGGGTGGCACGGCCAATGGGGCCCCTGGCGTGCACAGGGGGGGATCCACACTGTGGAGAGAGTACAAGGCGGACCCTTCAGTGGATTTCGGCATTTTTATTGGGCCTACAGCAGGGGGGAACCGGGCAACGCCGACCGGACCACGGTGGGCGTTAAAAAGGTCCCCTGTAAGAAGGCAGGGGATTGGGAGGGGGGGGGGGGATGTGCATGGCACGCTACGTCTGTCCGGCAAAAACATCTGTCCAAGGCTCCTCTCTCCCCTCTGCGCGCGTCAGACGTATGGAAGAAGAGAAAGAACACACGCCGAGAGCGGAGCTGCCTGTCTTCCTTCTACTTGGCATCCTCGCACTTCAGACATTGAAGAAAAGGTTGAAGGGGAAGTCGTCCCGACGGAGGAGGTAGAGTCGATGGGACGGGAGAAAAGACGAGCAGGAGAGATATATATATATATATATCGACAGCGGATGGATGAAGGGGCACGAATGCGGGCGCAGGCCCTCTTTACTCGTCGTTGGCCGGGGCAGCAGCCTCGTTGGCAGAGGACTCGGTGGACTCCTCCTCGGGCTTCTCCTCCTGGCCCTCGGTGGCATCGACGGTGCCCTCCTCGGTGTTCATGTCGTTGAGGCCCCACTCCTCGTTCTGCTCCCAGGTGCGCTCGTAGGTCTCGAAGTGCATGTGCGGGTCGGCATCCGGGGCATAGATGTTCTGCAGGTGCGAGGCACCGAGCGGGTCATCCAGGATGAAGGTGAAGGGGATGATCTCGCCGGCGATCATGCTGCGGATGCTGGCCAGGAACTTCTCCACCTCATCGGGCAGGGGAGCCAGGGAGTCGCCACCGGCGGCACCACCGCTCCGGCCGGACGCCGACTGGAACGAGTCACCGGCCAGGAAGGGGTTGGACTTGAGCTCGTCATGGATCTGCAGGAGGATGCCCTCGAGGGTGGTGAAGCGCCCGCCGAGAGTACCGGCACCGGCATCGAGGCCAATCTCCGGGATGCGGATGGAAGCCGAGGCGGACTTGAGCACATCGCGCGAGAGGTCCTCGGCATCGGTGACCTCGAGGGTAATCCGACGCCCGGTCTCGGAGATGGCACCGCCGGACTTCACCTCATTGCTCTTGAAGCCGCAAGCGTCGCAGTTGGTGGCCATAATGATGACCTCCTTGAAATGGGGAACATTGACCATCTGCATGACCGTGCGGGCCAGAGCACCGCAGCTGTTGCAGTTGGAAGAGAAGGTCATCAGCTCCTCAGGAGCCTCTGCCGGGGGGGGGGGGGGGGGGGGGAGGAGGAGGAGAGGGGAGGAAGAAACGGTCAGCAAAGGGAGGGTCCGGTCATCAGAGCACCACATGTCGGAGGATGAAAGAGAGAGAGAGAGGGGGGGGGGCGAAACAGACAGATCGGCCCATCGCGCACCATTGAGGTAGACATCCGGGGCATCGTTGATGCCGAGAGTCTTGTTCTGCTCGGACGTGCGAATGTAGGTGCGCTGGGCGATCTTCGGGTCGGTGGCGGGGAAGAAGCTGGATGTGCGCGCGCAGCCACACACACACACACACACACACACACACGGATGATGTAGGGTCGAGGGTAAGGAAAGGGGCACACTGCCAGCACCAATGGAGAGACGAAAGACAAAGCATATGCATGCAGAAGTGGGGCTGGCTGGCCGGCTGGGACAAACGCACAAGTTCTCGATGTAGCTGTTGCCCGAAGGGTCATCAATGGTGATGGTGTAGCCGGTGACGGCCTCGCCCTCGGCGTTGGTATACTCCTCCAGGGCCAGGATCTTCCGGCCGCGCGCAATGAAGGCAGCAATCTGGGCATGCGCCTCCGGGTCGGCCTCCAGACGGTCGGGCTGGTAGAGCTCGAGCTTGTCGAGAACCTGCATGAGGACGCCCTCGGCCGTGTCGAGCGCGCCGTTCTCGGAGTTGGGCGGGATCTCCAGGTCCAGCTCGGGGATGGAGATGGTGGCGAACTCCGAGTAAACAACCTGGCGAGTCAGATCCTGCAGGGCCCGCCACAGGAGGCAGCCCGAGGTGGGGGGGGGGGGGGGGGCAGATGGAGGAAGTGGGCAGGGGAGGGTTTCGGAGTCAGCAGCGGGCCGGGCCCAGGGCAGAGCCCAATGTGGAGAGAGGGCCGCGACAGGAGGCGGGCCAAGCCGCTCGAGTGTGGCACGTACCCGGGGCTCGTCGATCTTGCAGGAGATGCGAACACCACGCTCGCCCATCTCGCGGGTGCTCATCAGCTGCGAGTTGCGGAAGTGGCAGTGGGGGCAGGTGAAGGACATGAGAACCACCTCGCGGAAGTGCGGAATGCGGATCATGAGCAGACGGGTCTCGCCCTGAGATGGACATGGAGCAGGGGGTTGGCCCGATAACCCGCCGGGAGGGGTCAAATGGTCGGGGGAGTGAGTGCGACCGGGCAGGGAAACCCAACAACGGGGAAAGGAGGCCAAGAGGGGCAGACACAAAGCAACAGCGGCCGGACCTTCTCGTGGCAGGACATGCAGAGGCTCTCGATCACGGAGGCCTCCTCCACCTCGCCGGGGTTCTGGTACAGGTAGATGGGCTGGTTGTCATCCTGCTCCTCCTGGCTGGCGTCCGAGGCATTGCCCTGCTGCTCGTCGGGGATGGGGGAGGCCGGCCGCGAAGTACCGGTCATCTTGCTTTGGTGGTGGGGGAGGAGGAGGCTGAAGGGGAAAGGGGAGCAGGAGCAGAGGTGGAGGGGGGGAGGAGGGGGGGATGGAAGGGGGTATGCCTGGGATCGCGGGCCCCTCGGGAGGCCAAGGCGCTGCCATCTAATCGTCGGCGTGCCCCCTCCCGCCCTTGGCCTCCCTTCGCCTGGAGACAGAGAGAGAGAGAGACTCCCACGAGGGCATATTCCCCAGGGACGACCGCCACCTGGCGCGCGCGCGCGCGCGCCTGGCCAGCATGGGGGGCTCCTCATTCGAGAGGTCGAGGACATGAGCGTACGAGGCACGGCAGGGGGGCGGGGGAGGAAACTGTGTTTGTCGGGTACATACAAATGTCCTTGCGCATACAAGAACACCGCCCCGCCCCCCCCCC